ATGTTTGCTGAAGCATTACACAAATATATTATTGACAGGATAGAAATGATGTTGAAAGTACTTAGCATGTGTATAAATAGTCAGTGAAAATTAATACTGTATTTACACTAACATACCTGAAGATGTTTGAAATGCAATGTCCATGCTCCCCTAGATTAATTTTAAACATGTTATCCAGTCATGGCCTTGCCATCTTCTATGAAAACTTACAAAACTATTTTAGGATTATGCCAAGAATTATTATTCTTTTATAATGTTTCTTGTTTCTTACCTTTTTGTTCTCTTGCTTGTAACCATGCACTAAGTTTCAAATTCTGCATGAATTTAAACTATAGCTTCCATAATAAGCCATTATTTAAAAGTACAGTTAAATAAACCTTACAGTTTTAATGAAAATATGTTCATTGAAATGTTAATTATTATTCAAATCCACTCATAAATTCAACCATGGAGACACCACTTGTCTAAGCAGAGCTCAGTGATTTAGAAAAGCTGTCTATTTAAAATAAAGAATGTATGGCAGGTTTATAGAAACATAGCAGTGAATTTTTACATAAATTTAGAACTACAGCTTATGCATTTTCTGCAAAAATGTTTTTAAATTTTCCACTTAAAATTGAACATAAAAAGGAATGGAAAGTGTGATACAGCACATAAACTAAAGCAGGTGCTATATCCATGTGTACCACATTGACATTACATACCATCTTCTAAAAACTATTTCCAATTTTTAATAACTTATTTTCTATGACAAAATTTAGTTGCTTAATATATATATATATATATTTATCAAGGAATGATGCAATATCAAATGACTGTCACTGAAGCATTAAATGTAAAAGTTTAACTTTTAATTCAAATGAAGTAAACCATTTTGAAACTTTTAGCAACTATACGGGAGACAAGTTATGAAGAACTGCTAATGTGTTCTCTAAAACCCAAAGTGCTGCATAGTAATAACATAAGAACCAATTAATTATTAACACCTGGAATAAGGAGAAAAGTCTTATGATTTTTTAAAGGCAATATGGTAACTACACTTAAGTACTTTTAAGGAAATTACAAGAAACCCTCCGAGTTTCCTGCCCTCTGACCACCATAGTTCCTGTCACATAGATACTTTTGAATTTCATCAATAGCTCAGGAGACAGCACACATTCACAAGGCTATACGAATTCTGGATTATTTGAAATGTTAAAGAGATTAACAAGGAAAAGTATGGCAGATGCAGAGGAAAGAGAGATCATAATCCACTTCTGTCAAAAGATATTGGCTGCAAATTTTATGCTTACATACCTGTATGGGTTCGAATGTGAGCTAGGAAGGCCATGGAATTGCTACTTCTGCACATCTTGCCACAATACTTGCACACATTGCCTTGATTTTCCTCTCTTTCTCGGTTGATTTGCTCAGTGTCTTCCACAATGTACTTATTCACCTCCCGCAGTAATTCTTCATGTTGTTCTTTAATATGAAGAAACAAATTCTGTTCAGAATCAAAGGGCTCAGTGCACTTAACACATTTAAAGGTGGCGCCTCCTTCCGGTAACTCTTCCACACTTGCCTGTTCATTTCTCATGTGACCAGCACTAGCCAAGTGCTGGTGAAGGTTGCTTTCTGTGTAAAATGATTTTCCACAGAGTAAACAATGAAAATGTTTCTCTTTTGAAGGATGCTTCATGGCTATGTGAACATTTAGTCCACTTAAACCATCTGCTAAAAAACCACAGTCATCACAACGAATACGTGTCGATTCCCCAAGAGGATTTCCTTCAGATTTCTTCTTTTTCCCACCACCTTGTGAGCTATCTATTTTTACAGTTATCTCACTAACTTTCATTCCACCTGACATCTGTCCTTCATCGGAGTGGTCAGTGGACTCTCCATCTTGATGACTTTTTAATCTTACTATAGAAGAATCAAACTGGCCAAAATTTTGCATTGCCTTTCCTTTATCATCAGTACTGATAACAGTTTCCAAAGCCTCATTACTAGTTTCTTGCATGCCTTCAGCTGTTGAGCCATCTGCCTCCCAAATGTTGTTGTTTATAGTTACTTCTGCTTCATGTTTTGCCTCCATAAGGGCTTTCTCCTCCTCTACAGTAGGATCCCTTCGGAAGCTTCTGTCACCCTCTAAGCTATGTACATTTTGAACAGTATTTCTAATGTTTTCATCAAGATTTGACTGCTCTGCTAAATTATATGTTTCTGGAAGAGCTGGCACATGTGGAGAAGTTTCTGTTAGTAATTCTTCTTCAAGAACTTCAGTATTTTTATACTCGTTTTCAAGGTTTTCTCCATTTTCTTCTAAAGTTTTCCCACTTTTTTTGGAATCCAAGTTTGGGGCATTCATGTCATTTGAAACATTTTGATTTTCTACAGTGCAATGGAAATTTGAATTGATTGGATCTTGCCCATTTTTCTGCAAATCACAAATGACTACTTCTTTAAGAGGTATCACCTCACTAAGTTTAACTTCATCTTTTTGAGATGTTTGTTGGAAGACTTCATAAAGGGGATTTGCTCCTCCATTCGATTCCTCCTCAACTTCAACTCCCATTGCATTGTGGGCACCATCTTGTTTCAAAATTTCTGAAGATGTATTTCCATCTAAGACAGTACAGTCAGCTAAGCTTTTCAGAGTTTGATCGTCCTGAACTTTAGCATTGTTGACATATTTTGTTTCATCTGAAACTGTCTGAAATTCTTCTGTGTCTTCCTGATGATCCTTTGGAGACATAACAGAGGTTTCTTTGGCAATATCTGTTGTATCTGCTTCCTCTCCAGAGGAAGAACAAACATAAGATTGTCTTTTAATTTTATGCTTCTCTGTTGCTGCGTGCCTACTCATCTCTCGACGAGTAACTGCATAGTAGTCACAAGCCATGCAGTAGTATTCAAATTCTTTAGTATGCTTCCGTTTTACATGCAGCTCTAGAGAAGAAGATGAATGAGCAACAAACTCACAGTGTACACATTTATTGTCATTTGCCCCTGTAACTCTTCTCTGAAAACATGGGTCACCATCTTGAGTAACATTACTTGGCTCCATAAATACATGCTGTTTTATATTTATAGGGTTCTTAGTATATGGCAGATCTGGGAGTTGAGATACATTGTCGACTTCTACCTCAATGGAGTTTCCCTGGTCTTCTTCCTGATTTTCTAAGACTGAATTATCCAAATCCGATGACTGGCTATCATCCTCAACATGTTCATGCAAAATATCCATTGGGCTGTTGATCTTCTTGCTAATGGAGTCAAGATTACCTCCTTCTGGGCAAACAACTACCTCTGTGCTTTGTTTTCCATTAGCTTCCATTTCAACACGACCTTTATGTTTCTTGGTGGCACAATGACGTTCCATGTCACCTTTGGTTACAGTATAATAATTGCAAACTTTACACAAATAGCTGTACTGGTGACTGTGCTTTCGTCTAATATGTACAGTCAAGTTGGTAACACTGGAGGCCAAAAGACCGCAGTGGGTGCATGTCCTAGAAATGGTGCCTTTGGGTCTCCCTCTCTTTGGTGCATTGGCCAAAACTAACTCACTGTCTTTGGTAATTTCACCTGATGGAACCAGTTCTTTATTTGTGGATGTGTTATCCACAGTAGAGGACGGTGCCTGTATACTTTCTTTATCTAATTCAGTCTTTACATTGCCAGAAGTGGAAGGCTCCATTACTTTTTTAACATCACTTGCATCTACACATACCCTTTCAATACATTCCTCAAAACGTAAACCAATATTGTTTTTCCTGGCATTTTCAAGGTGCTTGCTTCTTTTAATATGCTTTTCCATTCCTTCTTTGCTAAGTGAATAAAGGTTACATGCTTTGCAAAGAAAATGATATTCCTGTGCATGTCGCAGTTTTATGTGTCTTGTAAGAACTGTGGAGGATCTTGTTTTATAAAAACACTTTTTACATTGAAATTGGGTTTTATTGAGAACAGAATGCTTTAATTCATTTCCATGATTTATCATGCAAGGCTTTGGGGGCTCATCCTCCATGGTCACTTCTATTTCATCTACAATTTTTTGGAGATTATTATTTGATTCCAGTGTAGTAGAAGCTGCAGTCTGCAGAGACAAATTAGTGCTAATTGATTGAGAAGTATTTTGTTGAGCCAATAAACTAATATGTTTCTCAGTTGTTTTATGATCTATCAGTTCTTCCTCAGTTAGAAAATACAGATTGCAAATAATACAATTATGGGGCATATTATGCTCTTCACTCATATGAGTTCCAAGGCTTGTATCATTCAAGCAAATAAATGAACAAAGGTGACAATTAAAATTACAACACCCCATTTGATGTTTATTACTTTGACAGTGTTGTTCAAAGTCCCCCCTGATTGCACAGGAATAGTTACATGTTTGACAATGAAAATGCATTTCTTTTGTATGATGTCTTATAACATGAATTTCCAAACCTTTTCTGTTCTGAAAAATAATACCACAGTAAATGCAAGTATGTAGGACTTTGTTGTCAGCAACAGGTTTCATCTGAGAATCCTCAGTTTTTGTAGTGCTAGGAGAACTGGTATTTGTCCTATCTTGACTCAGAGCCTGTATTTCTGTGGTAGCCTTACACTGACTGTTAATGTCATCATCATCATCCATTTCTAACTCTCTAGGCGATTTGGGCGTTAAATTACTTGGTTTAAGCTGGGTCCTGAAGTTGTGTTTCACCTGCGTTCGGTGAGATTTGGGTTTGCCTCTTTTACTAACATCCAGCAAACTATATCTTCCTTTAACCTGCTTTTTTAATCTAAAAGAGCCACTTTGTCTGAAAGAAGTTCTTAGTGATAAAATATTTCTCTTATGTCCTGATCTATCAAATCTCCTTGTTGTGTTTAAACTGCCAGTTATCTTTTGGGTACTTCTGGTGGGCTCTTGTTTGTTCAAATTTTCTTCTGAGGACCCTGATATTTCTAGCTTTTCAGCCTGGAGTTCATGAGTTCCTTCTACACTGAAGGAAAACTCTTTTTCCTCTGTAACAGTCTCTGATTTTTCAGTGGAAATATTTTTAGATGTTATCATTTCGACAAGAAGTTCACTGCCATCACTTTGTTTAGAAAAGCTTACTTTCGAATCCTTCAGATTATTGCTAGCATTTAATTCTTTTGAATCAGCAGTTCTTGTCTTTGATTTATAGGGCCCAGATTTTGCTCTCACTTTCTTCTTTTTGACTGCCGTATACTGCTTTTTATGAATGGTTCTTTTTGTCAATCTCTGTACAAATCCTCCTCGTGCAGCAAGATGTTGACGCCGAAGGTGCGTCTTGCCAAGGAAATGAGAACGTAGGAGATTCTCCTCACCACACTGAAAACCACAGAGATCACAGCAAAATATGGATTGTCCATGAGCCTGTTTGATATGTATTTGTAAAGCTAAACTGTATTCTGCTTTATAACTACAGTGGGGACACACATGCTCTTTGGGTTGTTTTGAGTGGCTTTCTTGAATATGTTTTTCCAAATCAGGGTAAGAGGGAAAGAACTGATCACAAGTTTTGCATTTAAGAACTTTATCTATATTGCCAACTGTACAGCTAACACTAATTTCTTCCACTTGGAAAGTACTTTCAGGAACAGCAGATGGAACTTCTTGTGACTCTTTACTTTCCAAATGAATTTTCAGTGCAGTAGCATCGGCAGCCTTGAAATCAGAATGTGGACACAAGGAATTTGAAAGAAGTGTGTCACCACTGACACAGTCACTCACTGCTACCTTTTTTATGGCTCCACCTATTATATTATCTGTTTCTGCAATTGACTCCTGCCTAACTGTGAGTTTGAGTGATTTGCCTTCACTGCCTTTAGTATGTTTTGAAAAATCCAGCTTTATTCTTTTTGAGATATGTTCATTTTCAAATTGGTCCCCTTCAGTAATTTCTAGGCTAGTTGATTCTAATAATGCCCTTTTGTTTTTGCCATTATCCTCTCCTTTCTTCTCAAGGCTCCTATGCACTCCATCAGATAAGGACCTTGTTTCCTGGTTAGATAAGGAATCACATTCAGCATTTTCTACTGAAACATTTTTCATTGAATCTTCTGTCAGATCAGTTTGTAAACTCCCATCAACTTCATCACTCTTCTGATTTTCCTCTGCATCCATTTTTCATGAAGGCAGCACAGTTCTAGTATCAGGAGTAGCTCATTTGGCTGTACTAGTACCTATAAAATAAAAGAGTTTTGTTATTAGTCTTTTGTACACACATAAAACAAACAATTTGCTAATACCCCAGGTATAGGCTAACAACAACAATCTGATCTAAAGTGTCATGGGGACAGCCATAATTAAAGGTATTGGCCAGCATTTTCAAAAGGACTGTCTAAAACTAGAGATAAGGTGGGTGAGGTAATATCTTTTACTGGATCACTTTCTTTTGGTGAGAGAGACAATCCTAAAGTTATGGCACTTAAATCAAATTCACATATAGGCATCTAAATAATGGCCATGCTTTAAAGCCAGACTGTGGAGCCATTACTCATTCTGGTGAGCACTTATTTGAGTAAAATCACTGGCTTCAATAGGACTATTTGTGTGAGCAAGTGCTCGAATGTGAGAAGGGGTTACACAATTTAGCCATAAGTCGTGTTGTGCAATGAGAGCTGCAAGCTTCACCCCTGAAAATTAGGCTACTTTTACTTAGGTGTCTAAATAAAGATTTAGTTGTCCATACTTGGGCACTCAAGTTTGAAGTCTGACCTTTATTTCTGGCAGCCTTGACATAGCACTCTAAGTTACTATGGCCTTCAGCAAAGAGGACAACAGATAATCCATCTTTTCCAGAACTAGAGATTTCAGAATAAAAAAGCTGACTAACCCCAAATTAAAAAGCTCTAAAGACAGAATTGACCGTGATTAAGACCTGTTGGATAAACTGAAGAATCAAGAAGGATTTGGCTAAATATCATCTTTTAAGCTTTACCAGTATAAGCCCCTCCTTCCTTCCTCTGCCCACATCCCATGCCACAGCATGAGAGGAAGAGAATGTGACCACTACTGATGGAGGAAATGAAGCCATGTGATTGCCAAAATGCTACCACTAAAACCACCTGCCATTTCCAAGGGGAAAAGTTAACAATAGGACACACTTTCCAGTGGGAGAAAGACAAGTAACAGAAGTGCCAGAGAGTAAAGAAAGAAAAAACATGTGCTTTCTCTCAAAAAAACCCAAACCCCTCCACCACTACAGAAGCCGAAAACCTCCTTTCCACTAACAACTGTCAATACAACTCTTCCCCAACAGCCCAGTGTGATCCTCCTCTCCATGTCAAAAGAAGGCAGATCCATTCCAGATACAGAATCCTCCAACTGCCCCCTGAACAAATTCTGTGGAAATCTGTCATTTTTGTGTGTGTAATAAAAAGAAAAAACATTCCAAACCTAAAGTATATATTAAAATAAAAATTAAAGTAATAAAGTTAATATGATTTGATTGAATACTCCATTTTAAATATATAATTCGATACAAATCTATGTTTTTCTATTTACCTTATGCTACCATAGAAACATCAATTTGCCACTGAACCCAGAGTTAGTGAGCTGCCAAATTTTGGTTCCGTTTCCACTGAATGCAAGAGCCCCTGACCATAACTGTATGTGCATTCTGATAGCAATAAATAATTCAAAAGCTGAACCAGACAATAGTGTACAGCAGTTTTCCCAAACTTGGGATGCCGCTTGTGTAGGGAAAGCCCCTGGCAGGCCGGGCCAGTTTGTTTACCTGCCACGTCTGCAGGTCCGGCCAATCGCAGCTGCCACTGGCCACAGTTCGCTGCTCCAGGCCAATGGAAGCTGCTGGAAGCGGCGCGGGCCGAGGGATATAATCTTCAAAAAGAGCTGCATCAATTTTTACCAGCTGAGAACTGAGCCCTTAAAGTGATGTTAACTCTGAAAAGTGACTCTGTACAGCACTCAGTGACTACATTTCAAATGTAATCAGATTGCAAGGTATATATATATAAACTGTCACCAGAGCAAATTCAACCTGAGATTTGAAAGGCAAGCTGCACCCTCTCTGGCTCATGCCTCATCAACAGTAGCAAAGATTCTGGAACTTGATGATTAATCAAAGCATGTGCATAACTTAACAAGTAGTTCTGTTGAGGTCAATGAGATTTAAACACATACTTAAAATTAGGATATATTGAAGAGTTTGGACTGAATCAGGGTCTTAAAACATTTTTAATGTTCACTGTCCTATCGCAGCATTGGCTCTGTAGCACTGACAAAAGTAAACTTATTTTTATCAATAAAAATTAGCAAGTAATACTTGGAATATATGCAGGGTGCATATCTACAGAGCAACAAGGTCCCATTTTTAAAGAGCCATTTTTCTGACCATTTTCACATTGTAAGAAGGATCATTACTGTAGATCAGGAGAGGGCAAAATTTTTGCCCTGAGGGCCGCATTGGGTTTCGTAAATTGTATGGAGGGCTGGTTAGGGGAAAGGGGTCGTGGCCCGGCCTCCACCTCCTATCGGCCCCCCCTCCCCAGAACTCCTGCCCCATCCCACACCCCCCCATTCCTTAATGGCCCCTCTGGAACCCCTGCCCCTTCCACACACCCCTGCTCCCTGTCCCCTGATTGTTCCCGGAACCCCTGCCCCCCCATCCAACCCCCACTCCTTCCTGACTGCCTCCCCCCGGGATCCCTGCCCCCATTCAACCCCCTGTTACCCCCCTGACCCCTATCCACACCCCTACCCCCTGACCACCACTCGAACTCCCCTGCCCTCAATCCAACACCCCCACCCCCCACTCCCTTACGGCACTTCCTGGAGCACCGGTGGCTAGCGGTGCTACAGCCGCGCCACCCGCAGCACAGAGCACTGGGTCAGGCCAGTCTCTGCAGCTGCGCTGCCCCAGGAGCTGACAGCCCCGCCGCCCAGAGCATTGCGCTGGCGGCGGAGCGAGCGAGCTGAGGCTGCGGGGGAGAGGGACAGCAGGAGAGGAGCCAGGGGCTAGCCTCCCAGGTCAGGAGCTCGGGGGCCGGGCAGGACGGTCCCACGGGCCAGATGTGGCCCACGGGCCGCAGTTTGCCCATCCTTGCTGTAGGTAGAGGTCGCTGCGCAATATCATCAAAGTTCCAAGTTCTTCAGAGTGTATAGAAACTAACTGTATAATTCAGAGATCTGTAGGTCTAAAGGATGCCCAGTTCAAGCTTCGGTGGCTCTCACCCCACTCTCTTCACCTTCGTCTAAAGTCCTCTGGAATCACTTGAAGTTATGAGAATGAACAAATATCTAAAGTGCAACATTACAAAAGACCTTAATTTGGTGTTAAATTAGTAAGGAAACTATCCTATTCTGTTAGTATGCATACAAATCCTAATACTGCACCACGGTCGTCAATGAAAGCTTTGCCATGATTAAGCACATACTCAATACACGATTGTCAAACTTTCAACATTTGTTACTTTAAAACCAAATTCTATCAAACAGCAACTGCTCCTCATGTCATGTTTAATGTTCAAAATGAAGCTGTTCTAATCGAAGAAAGTTATTTTTTTAAAAACATACAACATACAACTTTTTAAATGCTCATATAACTCAAGAATGTTTGATTAGATTTTTAAGGAAATGTCCAAGAAATTAATCTACCACATTAACTTCAGATTAACAAATTCTTTTGTTTGGGAATTTCCTTTGATTAATTAAAAAGGCATGTTAAGGTTACTTGTGACACTTTGTTATCAATTATGGGATTCTAAAAGGAGTATGTACTGCTCTGAACATTGGTGCAGGGAATCAGTAAGCTCAGTAACTCTGGTAGTAATAATAACCTAGCTTTTACATAGTGATTTCATCCATAGAGCTCAACGTACTTTACAAAGGAGGCAAAGTACTTTTCTTGAATCTGCAAATGGCACACCTGCACATATCACATCATTATTGCACAGATACATATATACACACAAAAACCCAGGAAATATGTGTGTGTTTGTGTGTGTGTATACACATATATACATATTATATATACATTTTCCAATTGTATATTTCATATTTGTAATTTAATAAATTTGACTAGTGTACAATGGTGAATAACATTAGTCTTGCAAAAGTTCTGTAGGATCTTTAACAACAGATGATCAGGATCTTGGTTTAAAAGTCTCATTTAAAAGAGCTCATCCAGCAGCCATACTTAAGCACTGGCTCAGTACATACTCAGAAGAAAAAGAGCCACTTACTGAACCTCCATCACCACTTCCGACAGGCTAATCACACAAATTCTTGCACTCTTCCTGCAATACTTTTCATATATCTATTGCTATGGATGTTGTGTCTGCTGAAGTTCAGTAAACAGTCAGTTATTTGGGGTTAGGAAGTCTTGCCCTGATGAAAAAAGAGAAAATATTTCACCTCATAGTTCTCTTTTTTCAAATTTTTCTATGCCAGTCCAAATAGTAAGATATAGTTCCTCTCTGCCAGTAGATGGAGACAGTACAGCCGAGATTTCCAATAGTGTAATTAAAAGAGACATGCCATTTCCCAATCCTCAAATGAAATTTAGAAAGCAATAATTTTAAGTTAAGATCAAAGGGACAAGCAATTAACTTAATAATTAACTTTAAATCTGTAATAAACGACAAAGTTCCTTAATTCGATGCTCAATACATTTTTATTTACTTTTCGGGGAGGCATATGCCAACTTTTAAGGGAAGGAATCTGTACTTATACAGAAGAACCTGAAGAAAGTATAGTTACAGGTATTAAATTTCTCCTTGCCTTTTCATTTTTCTGTACTAAATCCCGATGCTCAGGTCTTTCAAAAACACCCAAGGAGCAAATTAGCGTCTCACAGTATCAGATGAGGCCTGAATGTTCAATGTATAGTATGTGGCAAAGGTGTGTATTGACATCCAGGAGATGCTTTGCATATTTCCAATAAAAATACATCAGTTCTTTCTAACCAATCATTCCTTTCCATGGAATCATGTATCCAACAGAATGGGATTCAAAGGAATCTGGAACCTCTTTGCCACTGAAATAAGATTCTCTTAACTAGCTCCTTAACCTGGACAAAGTTGATCTGGATGACATTTGTCTCAGCATAAAACCATCATGCCAAATGAGCACCCTCTAAACTCCTGAGGTACTTCATCCTAAGTAAATTTAGAGGTCTCTCCTGATGTCCCTACTGTAACATGACTTCCTTACTATTCCT